GTCAAAGCTGAATCTCTTCGTGTATCTCGTATTGTTTCACAAAAACTGTTTTGCAAGAAAATTTATGAAGCGCACTTTTAAAAAATATTTGCTTAATTTTTGTAGTATAATCTGCTTCACTTTTCCTGATTCTGAGAACATCTTTCAATCACTAACGTGCCTGCAATGCTAGCGTCTAAACTTCAATAGCATGATTTTACTTTAAATTGTTTTAAGACACCTTTTATCCTATTTCATTTCTTTTCTTTTTCTTCTCTTTTTTCTCGCTTTTTTCTATTGGTTTTGTTCTTCCAAACTGAAAAAAAGTAATTATATTTGCATATATAATAACTTGTTTATGTACTTATACTAAGGAATAATGCTTGTATTTTAGTTTGTTTCAAAGTCAAACTTTGACTGAAATGTCACTAGGACTTAATCAAATTTTAACTTTACAACAGATCTATTTCTGCATCGTCAGTACGTTTTTAAAATTTAAAAAAAATACAAACGTACTTTATTGAGCGAGCTGTTATTTTGGCCACAGATATAGGTTCAACTTTAGGTTAAAATTAAATACTGACAAATCAACACCTTTGTTTAAAACGTCTGCTATTTCTCAACAGTTCTTATGAGATACGTTATTTTTTTATATCCTTATTTATTTTTTTTTCAATTGTTAAAAATTTCTGCTATAAATGCAGTCAGTTATCCTTCCTTAGTTTGATAAATAAATTAGGAATTCTGAAAGATACGGACAAATCTAAAAAAAAATAGTTTGTTTGTTCAGAGAACGCCATTATATTCCGCAGCTTCTAGAGGTATGATTGAAGTGGTAAAATGCTTGATAGATTATGGGGCAGAGGTCGACGAAAAAAATTTGGACGGAGTAAGTTTTGAATGAACAAACCAAATTTTTAAGAGTTGAGGAAGTCAAATGTGTTCTAATGTTAGCCTTCCTTCAAGCCGGCATATTATAAATCTTGAAAGATTGAATTAATAGTTAAATAAAGGCGACGACTTAGACAGGAAAAACTATAAATCTAATTTTTCGAGGCAACTAAGTTTTTTTTCTTTATGAGAACAGCACTGTTAACAAGTACACCTGATGTTTACGTATCTGTACTCACTCAAACATTTTTTTTTTTTTTTTAGAAAACCCCGTTATTTGTGGCGTCATCGAAAGGATACAGCAATGTAGTCAAAGAATTAATTGAAAACGGAGCTAATGTGAATGAAGCCAATAAAGTTAAGGTAAAGCTTTGGCAAAAAAATTCTTTTTTTCACACTTTTATTTTATGACGCTAAATGTTTACAACTGTACAACTAGCTACAAGACTGAATTCTGGGTGCAGCATACAGATATTATTCATAATATTTTTCACCCACCAATAACTCTTTGAGAAACTTTTTCACTTTTTTGGTGCACGAACACCTCAAACTATCTGGCGTTCGATAGCAAGAAAAAAGTGTGAGAAACAAGAAATAGTTATTGTTCACAAAATGTTTATTCAAGTTAAGATCAAAGCCAAATAAACTTGATTGCTTGGCTATATGCAATACAGTACAGAAGAAGACTATGTTAAAATAAAGCTGCGTAAAGTCACCTTTTTGAAGAAACCAAAAAAAAAAAAACTGGGCTTGTCTTATAAGTTATTAGTGTTGTTTATAAAGTTAGTGTCAAAAAATGTGTAAGTAGTTTGACAATAAATAGAAATCAAAGAATACGTTGAATCTGCTTTACATGTCAGAATGTTTATTGTACACTTTAAAGAATACTGTGATATATTACAATTAAATTTACAGCAAAATTAACTGTCTTAGTATAACTGTCAGTGTAGTAAATTTTAAAGCTGCATAAAAAGTTATATTTGCGCGTAATATAAACGATTTATTTCTAGAGTGTTTGATTATCTATTGATTTAAAAAAAACGTTCCGCGACAACAGTTTTACAATCAAACTTTTTGAGTTACTTAGAAAGAAAATGTAGCCATTTATGGTTCTAAAACTATTCCAGTTTAAGTTTCAACTTATAAAAATAATTCTTTAACAAAATTTTTAACCATTAAAAGTTATTTGCTTGTTTCTATAAACAACACAGCGTCACTTTTCAAGGAGGTGTTTTTAGGTCAAACTCTTTTTAACTGCTGCGTACAGATTCTTCAAATTCTTCTGCTCTAAATGTTCTTGATTTTTATTTTTGTGATGCACTGTTCTGAAATTATAATCTTAAGTAAGGAATTCTCAAAATTTATTTTTTTCAGTAATAAAAATTAATGACTCGTTTGAGTTAAACAAGAAAAAATTTTCTTTTTTCAGCAAACACCACTACATATAGCGTCATCAGAGGATTCTGTCGACGTAGTAGAATATTTGGTGACAAAAAGTGCTAATGTCTCAGCAGAAGATATCTGGAAAGTAGGACTGTACTTTGAAGAACTTATAAGTTACTTATGATTTTGTTCAGCGAGTGGCTTCGACTTTTTCAAGAGAAGGGGTGCTAGTAAAACTCATACACATTTGCAGCTGCACATAAATCTGTGGTGTTAAGTCTGGTTTTGAATATTGAAGCCTGCACCAGTACTTGAACTTTTATTTCTTGGGAACTACGGTTAAATGCCGTAAATAATGCTCGTCTACTAAAATGCCTAAAAAAGAGTATCTGTTTTATCTTATGTATTAATTTTACTATTACACATAAACATGTCGCAGAAAATTTGGTCGTAAGACTGTGTTATCAGAAAGCAGGTGAGACGTTAAGCAGAGTACCTAAAATTATGTAATGTTACCGGTTTTTAAGTTGTATCTTAACAATCTGCAAACTAAAGAGTTACCAAACACCGGTAATAAACACTAAAAGTAGCAGAAAATGAGCAGCTAAATCATTGTGAGAGTAATAAACTCAAGCTTTGGCTTTCATGTCTCCAGAGCAAAAACCTTAGTTGGTAAATAAATTTTTCAGTGGCCAACTTTCTTCAAAAAATTATTTGGGTTTTTTTCTACATTAATAATGTGTCCAAAGCTGGTTTTTATTACTCTGACTTTTCACCTCAATTAAATAATGAAAATTAACAGTTCAGTTAAGCCAAGATAAGAAAAACTTTTTGCTGACCATATACGCCACGTGTATCGTCATCAAAAAATTTTATGAATTTAATAGAATATTTGAAGTCAACTTATTATTCACCACATATCCCAGTTCATACACTGACTTTAGAAAAGTCTTAGAGAACCCAGTTTTTAAACCGTTTTTATGCTGAAAGACTGTTGTAACGCTTCCGCGATAAAGCATAGACCATAAACGTTTAGAAATGCATAAACTGGTGACGTATTGAAGAAAACTTCATTTTAGAAAACACCACTTCATAACGCGTCTTCAAAAGGAAACATTGATGTTGTTAAATGCCTGATAGAAAATAAAGCCAGTCTCGAAGCACTGGATCTTGACGAAGTAATGTTTTGCACGAATAATTTGGAACTTTTTTAGTTTAAGTTTTTTGAAGTAAAGCTTACAATATTTATATCGAGTAGTTTTAAAATGGTTGAAGACTATTCTTTTTAACATTATTTTGCAGCATTTGACCCGAAAAAGTAACTGAAAAATAAATCATTAAAAAATGTTTTGTTGTTTTTAAATGTATTTTGTTTGTCTTTTCTTATGCTTCTGAAAATTGTAATTCATATTAGACGAGTGTTGCGGAAAAGAATAAAAAGATTTTCCATCTGCAGTGAAGAAATACTAATTGTTTTTTTTTTTTTTTTAGAAAACACCATTACATGTTGCATCGTCTCGATGCCATCTTGAGGTTGTAAAATATCTATTAAAAAAAGGTGCAGACGCCAACAAAATGGATAAAGAAAAAGTAATATCATGAATACAAAAAAAGTTTACAATAAATTGTTTCTACTAAATTTATAAATCGCTTTTAGCTCGCAACTTAACACTTAATAAACTTGAAATTATGCATCCAAAAGTTTTTTTTTTTTTGTTGTTGTTGTTGTTGTTGTCGAGCAGTTCGTTGTTTCTCAAATAACCTTTTTTATAAAGTGGCTTAAGTATGCGTTTTTCAAAACCTTCTTTTCTCTATAAATTCTGATTTTTCGAAAGAAGACATTATTGCTATTATTACTAATAAAAACTACTTATTCTTTAAATTAAATTTAGTTTTGATATAGATTTAAAAATTTGTTGCTGGTATCATTAGCAGAGCAAAGTCACAAAACTGTCTTTAAAAGGCATTAGTTAAATTGTTTCAAAACGTAAAAAATAAACCTTGTTTTCCCTCTTAAGATTATCATTAAGATAGTGTAAATAAGATCAGCTTTATCTACACCTCCTTTTTTTTTTAGAAAACTGCTCTGGATTATGCAAAACAGGGACAGGATCCAGAAATTGAGAGACTTTTGATAGGTTAGTTGCTTTGCAGACGCAGATTCACCATTTTCTGAAAAGAACTTCTGACGCGCTAAGCCCAAAATTCTGTTCATAAGCGATAGTGCGTGACGATAGAAAAAAACTAATTTTTTTCTCTCTTATAACCTAAAATTGACTAGCTTCATCTATATTTCAAACGTGCCTTATGTCTTCTGCTACTCTGAAAGATGTAGGTACTAAAAATAACTTTTCTTCAACAAGGATGACTGAAAGTTGCATTTTAGGCAAACGAGAGATTCCGTATGACGAACTTTTAAATATGACTCCATTTGATGAAACCGGCGATTACTATACCAGTAATTATAAAAATCAAAAATTTCTTGTGAAAAAAGTTCATAGTAAAGAAGAGACAGAGGTTCTTCATTTGTTGGAACTCAGTCATCCAAATTTAATAAAATTTCTGTATGCTCTTTTCCTAATTTTAATGGAGTTTTTCAATATTATTTTTTTTCAACCAGTATTTGAAGAATTCTACAATAATTCGTTTGTAACGGTAACGTTCTAAGATAGCTATTTATTTTTAGTGTTTGTGACCTACCGCTTTTTCATCTGCAATAAACACGGGATTTTCAGGGGTATTTCTACCACAGAACCGAATTATTGCATTATCATGGAGCCCTGTGAAAGGGGTACGCTAAAAAAACTTATGAAAGATTGCCAAAGCTTAGTATCAGAAAAGATTAATGAATGGATACGACAAATTGCGGATGGAGTGAAATACTTACATATGCATGACATTATTCATCGTGATATAAAACCAGACAGGCGAGTCTTTTTTTTTTGCTTTTTTTTTTAGTGCCAAAACAAAATATTTTTGCTATTGTTTTCTTGTTTTAGCATCTTCATAAACATAAATAATGAAGTAAAAATGTGTGGTTATGGCATGCTTCGCACAAATGTTAATGGTACCTATACGGCTCCAGAAGTGATAAGTCAGAAAAGTCGTTTTACTAAGAAGGTACTTTGAGCTTTGTTAAGTGCTTTCTTATGTTAAGCATAAATGCAACAGTCTATTGTTGGTACTTTTTTATTGTATTGAAACTTTTTTTTTCGATTATAAATTTATTTTTTATTGAACTGCAGTCAGATGCTTGGAGTTTTGGGGTCTTATTTTGGGAATTGCTAACGAGAGAAACTCCGTATGAAAACATGGAAGAGGCGGAAATTATTAAAGGGATCAAAACTAAGTTAGCCTTTAATATAGCCTAACTTTTAAAGTTTTTACTTTGATAATACTGCATCGTTCATGTTGTAAAAAAGGTGAAGAACTGAAACATATTTTAGCCGACTCACAATTGACGTTTCTAAGTCGCCTGAAGAGGCTCGTGATCTAATAAATTCATGTTTGAGCAAATCGACTAATTCAAGACCAACGTTTGCCGATATTTGCTACCAATTAAGGTTCCCATATTATTTTTTTTGCTTGATTATTTACTTGCTTCTTCTGAATACAACTCTTAAAAGCAATACTTTGTTCGGCAACTTGCAGAGTTCTTTTTAGTGCTTTAATTTAATGGATGACGATTTTTAGTGATATCCGGTTGGATTACAAATGAAATAGCAGCATAGTTGGGAGTAGCTGTACTTTCGAGAATCAATAATTTGTGAAATAAATTGGTCAATTTTGTCGCTTCTTGTTATCAACTTAATTTCTTTGAAAAAGTACTTCAAAAATTTATGTTGCTGCGAAACTGCTATTTAAAAGTATGAAAAAGTGTTGAAACTAAACGTTATACAAGTGCATTTTACAAGTGGCAAAAGTTTACGTAGCTGTTGCAAAACAAAGAAAGATGTTACAAAGTTTATAAAAAAACAATAGAAAACATACAATAAATTTTAAAAAACAGAAGAATCTTATAAAAGTCTCTTGTAAAACGCAAACGGCTTTCACGGAACGCCGTTCGTATAGTATACAAAAAAAGGTGGACCTGCGTAAGCGCACATCATCTAATAAAAGGCTATTTAAGCAAAGTTTAGGTCTTTCCTTTAGTTCTCGTTTTGGGAACTTTCTCTTCTTTGTGTGCGAACTAACAGACAAACAAAACACATGTTCTTTTGAGTGCAGGCTTTTGTTCGTTCTGTTGGGTTTCTTGTAGCTTCCCACCAAAAGGAGGAAGAATTTCGCTTTGTCTTTATGTTGAATTAGTGTTGTTTCGCAAGTTTCCTCTACCATCGCTTATTTGACTGTTATCATTGGTTTTTCGTATCTGAAATTGTGTATATCAGTGAAGTAACTCACAAAATGAGAGGTTGGTCATTCCCGTCATTTTCTATAAAGTAAAATAAATTTCTATCTTTTAAAGTGTTGAGACACGAGATAATTGGCACTAAGTCTAAGCAGAGTAGGTGTTTGAATGTAACTCACAGTATTTTATAGAGAGTTCTATAAGAGAAGTTACAAAATAACTAAAATAGTTAAAGAGAGTTTAATGAACCTTTTTTATTTTTTCTCAACAGTAGCAGTAAAGAAGCATAAAAATTACGAGCGTTGTTAGGAAATTCTGTGCTGACTTTTTGCGGTCAAGTCGTGACAGTAGAGAGAAAGGCTACTGTTTTGTAGCAGTAATTTTATGCATAAAGGTTTGTAGATTGTTTGCTGAAAAAAGCTTAGTTTGATTTTTTACGTTGCTATCATTTATAAAGTTCAGTTCGTGAACAGAGAGCTGGGAGTGAGAGATAGTTGTCGATCAGCTAAAAATTAAGGGTAATGTCAAAAGCTAGTCAAAAAACACTGCTAAGAAAAACAATAAAAATCTTTATAACTTATTTTGTTTCTTCAAGAAAATTCTTAATGTAACAAATTGTGATATATACGATTTTTATTAATTTCTAGCTTACTAAAGCTGAAAGCAAATGTTTAAGTAAGCACCAACAATTTGATGAAAAAAGAAGAAAGAAAATGATAAAGATTTATACCCAAATATAATAATCAATCAACATTAAGATACAATAAAATTTTATGAATTAGTGAAAATGACTAAATAAGATGCCTCTCTCTACTGCCGACTCAAATAAAATCAAATTTGGCTTCAAAAAGTGAGAATAAATTTGTCACTTATTGACTTTTGCAGAAGGCAACAGTTACTTACAATTACCATCAAATCTGCTTAATAAATTTTACGGAGCAAAAGTTACGCATGAAATGCAAGTATCAAGAATATCGTAAACTAAGTGGTATAGACTGCAAGGTAAAGCTATAAGTATTGAAAAGTCGAAAAAATTTAGGTGGAACGCTAATAGTTTTTTGATATTACTGAAATAAAGGGAAAGAGATTTTAAAACTTGACACGTAATTAGACTACACTTTCTCAACTTCGATAGTAAATTTTTTTTTACCAGGACGAAGACAAACTGTGCTGTTTAGTGCCTCAAATTAAGTGCTACACTTATTCTGCATGGATCAAAAACTCAGAAACTACGATTCACGACATTTGAGAAAAAAGTAAAAGAAAAATTAATAATAACAGAACATTAGCTGGTTTTTTTCTTGCAGTGGATTTTTTAATATAAAATCTGACATTAATTTACAAATTAAGACTAGTGGTTGCTTGTAAGTCGAAAAGTAGTTCATTTAACTTAATTGAGGACTACAATGTTTACTGTAGTTTTTTCAAAGCACGTTTTTTTTGAGAGAAGATTGAAGTTGTTTAATATTAGTTAAATTAATTGTGTTAGAATCTCGTTGCAAGAGAACGACCTTTTTATTACTATATTGGCAAAAAAAGTCAGGAAATACCAGTTAGTTCAGAGTTTTTCCTTTTTGAACAACTGGAAACAATACTGTAAGCTTAAAAGTAATACTATTCACACCTATTTGTAAAAGTTGGAGAAAGGCTTTTCTGCGATACTGTATAGCTGGATAATACAAAACAGAAGTTTCTTATCAACAGTTTTTTCAACAAAATCTCTCAAATACCGCTTCTGATCTAGGTCATATATAGTTGAAAAAAAGTTTGTTCAAAAATGTTACTGATCTTAATAAAAAAGATAAAATTAACACAAAAATGTAATGCAGGGAACAAACGCAGTTCTGACTGTAAATTCACCTTCAATAACATGTGCTCCTGAAAGCGGGGCCGATTTCAACGCAAAAGATGTATGGATGTAAGAATTATCTAAAACCGAATGTTTTTACTGCAGTTGTGTAATTATGTAGTACTGCAAATAAAATATTTTTTAGTGAGCTTCCACGGATGTGATGGTTTTAAGAGGCTGCGTTGAAGTTGTGAAATGTTCCTCTAAAAACGCTTGTAAGTTCACTGCAATGAACAAAGATACTATAAAAATCTGATATGATATATAAATGCATTTGCAAGTCTGTATGTGAATATGCGACAGGTTATTGGACCAAAAACGAGGCCTGCATCAGCGTATAAAGTTTTGCTTGAAGTAAGGGTTTTCCTACATTTCCTTTTCACCCATACACTTGCTGAAGTTTGTGCCTGCAACATGGAAATTTGCGCATTTCATCTTTTTACAAGAGCGGAATTTGGTCTGGTTTGTTTAAAAACTCTATTACAAAAAGTAGTGTTTACGCGAAAAGCACAATGGAGTACTGAAAAAGTGCAGAAGAAAGATATTGTGTGATAGTAGTGGATTTTCGATAAAATGGCGAAAAAGAAATAACGTGATTTCTAAGCTGTCGAAAATAGAAAATAATATTTTTTTTTTTCTGGTAGACAGCATCGCAGTTGGCATCAGGAAAATGGCACGTCGAAGTTGTGAAATCGCCGCTGTAGAAGCAGTTTGCCGACGTGAATGCGAAAAGTAATCTCGGGAGAAAGACATCTTTGAGAAAGTTTACCATGTCTCACCTACAGCTTTGCTTTTACATATTTTTTTAATGCGCTTTGAACTAATTAATTGTTTCATTTTCGTTTTGAATATCCAAAAATATTTTGAAAGTGTAAACTGTGTAGTTGGTTAACAATAAACAAAAGTTTCATTTTATTCTTGGAGTCGTAATTAATGGTTTTTTTTAGCAAAATTCTTTGCATTTCGCTTCTAAGAATGGTCACATGGTAGTAGTAAAATGATTTCCAAGAGAAGTTATCGGCTTCAGTAAACAAAAAAAGTAAATGGGAAGTGTAGTACAAGAAACCAACGCAATTCTTATCTTGAATGCCCTCATTCAATAGCAAATTTTTCTCAAAGCAAAGTCAAGGTCAACGCAAAAAATATGCGGAAAGTAAGCATTTTTTTGAAGCTACTGTTTTTACTGTGGCTTTGTAATGTTGTTTAGAACTATGAATAAAACATTTTTTAGCAAACTTTCTTGGGCTTGGTGGCTTTGACGAGTGACGATGAAGTTTGGGATGCTTATCGAAAAATATCTATAATATCAGTGCAATAGAAAAAGATTATAAAGAAATTTAATGTGGTATATAGAATCAATTGTATTTCTCACTGCCTGTGTGTGATAAATTATTCGGGTAAAAATGTGCTTGACATGATCGTTAGAAATTGACTTAAAGTACGGATTTTTTTACACTTCTTTGTAACATATGCAGTTGCTCGAGTTTTTTCGTTTGAGAATTTGAAAACTTAACTTTGTTTATTTTTCTTCGTTTGTCTGCGAGAGGGGGATTCAAGCCGATTCTTTTTAAAACATTGTAAAACAACAAAGTCAAATTACGTTGTTTGAACAAACAACTAAAAATAAAATACTTTTTTAAGTAAATTTTTTATGGAAGTGATGGGTTTGAAAGGTTACGCTGAAGGCGTGAAATGTTCCTCTGAAAGCGTTTATGGTCTCGATAAAAAAAAAAGAAAAACAAGTAAAATATAAAAATTTGAAATGGCAAATGTTACCCCAGAGGACACTACAGCTTATCCTGCTCAAAATACTTTTGCAGATTGATGGTCTCAGCACACTGGCTGCCTGGCTGTATTTTGATACGAAGTTTTAGAAAGGGAAGTAGCAAAACGTCAATGATATAAATTATACAGTGCGTAACAAAGCTAATATACAGTCACACAAATTTGTAGTATATCATAAGAAGTTTAACCCTGCTTATATTTTGATTTGTTTAAATTTGGCACTTTTGCGTGATTCTCAAGTTGCCAAGCCTATAGATTTTTTAGGAAGAGTGTGAAACATGAGTAAAAGAAAAAGTCAGATAGATAACTGCTTTCTCTGTACTTGCGTGGTCGCTTCTTCAGACCTAATTTCTTTTCTTCAATAAAGCCAAAAAAACTCTGTGATCAGCATAACTTCTGAGCAATATTTTGGGTGCCAAATGAGACTTGTCGGGTTTTCAGAACTTCTGTGTCAAATCTTAAACTCAAACTAGAGTGATTAAACTGACGTTACTCGTAAAATTGTATACAAGCAACAGCTATTTGGCACAGACAGTATCGCAAAATGAGATTATAAAGTTACATCATGAAGACGGGGAATGAACTGAAATTAATGACGATGTAAAAAAAGCGGTAAAGGCGTGAATGACTCAGCTTACTTTTTGGACCTACTTATGTAAAACCTTTGGTGATCTTGAGCTGCATATCTTGTTAGTCAGCTGTTTCAAAAGTAATGGTCATTCGGTTTTCTGATGACCAAACTATCACTTGACAAATTATGTGAAAGTTACCAGCTTGAGTAATCGTTAAATGTTTTAGTTCTCACTTATTTATTTATTATATGGCTTTCTAGTGAGAAGTGCTTGCGGTGGTAAATCGTTTAGGTCAATAGTTAAATTCAGAGCAGAATTTACCTTCTGTAATTTCTGCGATATAAGCCACTGTGTGATAAAAGATTAATTCCCCTACTGGATTTAGCTTTAGTGACCCTTGTTGCATCTGAAAACTGCTCGTCCTTATTCGCCTCCTTCCCCTTTCAGCGAAAGCCTTAGCTAAATGTCTCCAACTTTTTTTTTTGTCAACAAGCACCAAAGAAGAGACACTCTTTCAGTTTGGTGGCCTCATTCGTCTGTTGGTTGTAATGGTTGTAGCGAATACGCAACAATAGTCAGCAAACTTGCTTATAGTTGTGAACAATCCAATTTTGAAAAACTGGTTATAAAACTCTTTCAAATTTTGAGTAACTCTTTTTTTAGTATCCTGCGAATTTTCTGTAATTTGCATCTCAATTTCGTATAAAATTCAGAAAAGTATGCTATATAAAATCTCTGAAATTTAAACAACCCTTTCTTTTTTTGTTAAATTATAAGAGAGTTTGTTGCTTAATTTTCTTTACATGTTACGAATCTCTGCTTACAAATTTCTCATGAATTCCAGAGGCTTTGCATCCTTATTTCTGAAAAATATCAGTGCAAGTAATTTTGTTTTTTTATGGCCTAAAGAGAAGCGAAATCAGCGTTGTAGAATTTGGATTATTAATATAATACAGCACTACCCATAAACAGATTTTTTAGACAAGCAAGAAAAAAGCATTGGCCACTTTACTTTAAATTTTTAAAGGAAAAATCTTTTAAAGCGATACGAAAAGAACTTACTCATTACCAACTCCATAACAGTGATAAGCTCTCTACATTCTTTAGTATAGACTGCTTGATCAATCTTAATCATAAATTACTTTTCCAGAAAAACATTTCATTTCATGAACATTTTGAGGTATTGCCAAAATTTTTAGAATTTCTTTTTGTGCAACCTATTCGCACCTGTAGCAAAATGACCTTTATTGCAGATGAAAGCAATAATGGTAGTATGTTCAAAAAGTGTTTAAATCAAAAAAAAAAAAAAAAAAAAAAAAAAAAAAAAA